GTAATGGACTCATCACGTCCAATACGTACTTCATGCTCGTTTACCACCGCTGGGTACACACCCACTGTATTCGACAATAGGATAGAGACGGCTTCCTGCTCAGGCAGCTGCTTGTTCGCGCGGCGAAGTCTCTGTTGGTAGTCGTCGATGTCACGAATGTAATCGTCAAGTCGTTCGTCACGTTGCAGGCGACGATTCAGCATATCTCGCTTGAGAAACACGCTGTTTACTCCAGGATGGTTATCAAAATGATCTTCCAGTGTTCGCCACAGTAGGATAGGATCAGCACGTTGAATAACACTTGTAAATCGCATCTGTAGTTCTTGACTAAGTCCCATCGTAAGTTCACGTTGAGCAACACGCAGTCGTTGCTTGAAACAGCCGCGCTGTCCTTCGTTACGTTGGTCTGCCATCGTTTCGCGCTCCATGATGGGGTCCAAGAGGTGTGCGACGTCGAGAATGGAGCAAATCTCGACGCGCCACGTCTGGTAGTTGGTATCGGTAAGTCTTGCGTTCAACTGCACGTGTCCGCTCTGGTTCATGCACCGCGTGCATCTGTGGTCTCCAACCATGGGTTCGTCCGTAGCGGAGTCGGTCCCGGCCTCGGTCTGGACTGGCTGCGCTGCAGCCTCGGACGTTCTTGGGTTTCTTGGCGGCTCGCTCTGACGCGTGCTGGCGTCGGCGGTAAGTTCCTCTGTGCTTGGGTTTCCTCGGCGGGGCCCGTACGGCGTCGGCACTCGCTGCGGTTGTGCTCGAGCCGCTGAGAATTCTTGAATGAGCTGCCTTTGTGGGCGTCGGGTAGATGCTTCCACTGGAATGTTCTGCACTTGCTGCTGATTGGTCAGTGTAGTCATAACAGTACCGAATTGGGCCAATAAGAGCTCGAGTTGTTGCTCAACTCGGGTTGATGACGCTTGTGACGTCGCATGTGCCTCGTCTGACGTTGTCTCGTCTGCTCTTGCAGGTAACTGCAACTCGTCGGACGCGCGCGAGCTCTGCGTACTCCGGACTGGGCTTCCAGCTCTCCTTCTTGGGCTCATAACCTGAGTGATGGTCGCTCCTCGGCTACGCCGAGTGGTGACCATTGTGATGAAGGAAGTAGTCGTAACAACAGTAAGTTGCAGGGACTGAAAGTCCAGCAGGGGAGAAAACCGAGTGCTGCTGCTTGCTCTTGACGGCGCAAGTTGTCGAGTGTGTAGCAGCACACGGAAAAACCCCGGTAACATATATTGGTAGGATTAGCAGTAGGATGGGGCTGGCGGCTCGCCAGCCAATGGTCCGTCGAAGTCCGGCTTCTGGACGCGAGCATCGCGTCCTGGAGGCACCTGAGCCTCAGGTTTGAGCTGGACGCAGTCCTGGCTCTTCCTCCACACTTCACATCGCTGTCAGACATGATGCCTTTGGGTGCTTGTGTAAACGTGCAGCGCGACGAGCGCTGCGGGAATGCGGAATGCGGGCGACGCACGCTAGTGGAGTGACCATCATTATTTTTTGTCCTTAAAAAATGGGGTTAAGGACAAAAGTGACGTGACTTTGTGCGCTCCAAAAACGATTTGGCCCTCTTTTTAAGGACAAAATTTGTTGGGGTTAATACATGTAGTAGAAATTAGATTACAGGCGAAGAATTAATCGAGAGCACAGCCCGTCGACAAGATACTGCCTTAAGAGTCCCTTTGCTGTATCATTTCTCTAACGTTACTGTAGCCAAAACTGCATATGCTAGCACCACCTCCACGAGCTTCAAGGCCAAGTCGTCCGTGTCGAGAAAGACTTTTAGCGAGGTGGCTCGAAAACAAGTCAAGCAAGTGGAGACTTTCCGATTTGATTTCAAAAGTTCAAATGCCCGTCGGGCAGCCTTATTGCGAAAGTGCAGCACCTTAATTCCTCTTGGCGGCTCAATTTATTTCTATTAGTCACATATTCTTAGTTTCTGTAGGCACGTCTTCTTCCAAGCAGCAGGCTCCGTCCGGTAGCCACCCGGTGCTTTGAGTCATGACTACAGAGATGGTGTTCCACAACTGCCACCGTTGGCTGCCTGCTGTCCCTGGTGCTGTAGCTGACACTCCACTCAGCCGCCAGGACGTCTACAATGCTTTTCAGGACGAAAGGTTAGGCTGCGAGCTCATCGGTCTGACCCTGCTGCGGCCACAGTCCAGAATGTAGTCGACAAAAATTGCTATAACCCTGCAGCATGTGGCGTCAAGGAATCCTAACCTACAAGTGCCCCAGTGCAGTGTTGGCAACCGACGTAGAAACGAAATTTCGTTGAAAGCGCTGAAACGTTGGTAAGCGGTCGGTAAAAATAAACCCCCCGTCAGAACGTTTTTACGGACTTATTACGCGTTGTTTCGTAAGCATATTTGAAGATCCTATTTTGATCTGAGGGAACTTTGCAGCGTAGAGTGTGGCTTGCTATTCGCCGCAGAATCACAGTTTCTAACTTCCTGGCTGGTCATACAATAGCTTTTGAACCCGTCTTACCTTCCGTTTCTAGCCGATGTCTGCCCCAGCTTCCGAAGAGCGTAGTCATATCTTCAAGAGCCAAGTGCTCATTGTCCAGAAGGATGGAAGCGTATCCGACAAGCACCACTGGTGGGTAATAAGTGCCAAGCCGCGCATGTCAACAGCGCTGGCAACGTGGCATCACCGGAGTCAATTCGTGATCGTGCCGACGCTTATCGTAGTCATCTAAAGCGCTGTCCATACTACCGACCGGAGGTTGTTGCTACGACCCTTCTGTGCGGTCCATCTCGTCAATTGGATCTTCGAGTAGCACCACAGCAAATCGGCTAAAACGGATGAGTGATTTCTTTATGTCTATGGACGAGCAACATAGCTTTGATCGTGATCTTCTAGAGTTTCAAGCTGAGTGCGCTCTACCAGACTATTTCATCGAGCGCGATTCAACCAAGAGGTTGTTTGCACGGATGCAGCCGCGCGATGAGCTACCTACAAGAAAAGAGCTCCGAGGTCGTATCCTTAAAATTAATGCAGAAAGCGCAGAAACGGCGCCAAATGCGAGCCTGCGAGAGAAGCAAGACGATACTGGCGGGCGGATAAATCACCTTTCTGAAGTATACCAGAATGTCGCTCGACGTCACCTTCTTACATGTCAACTTTGCATGTTTGGCATTGTTGTCCAGTTTGAGCTACTACCAGTCGACTCAGCTCACCATGGCATTGCCATAGCCAAGCAGATGAAGGGATCACTTATGAGAGCGTTGGCGCTAGGGTGGATTATTGGTGCCGTCGTAGCTGACGATGCGGGTCAATGCGCAAGGGCCAGACAAATACGGTCCTTAAGATGGCCAAATATTGTGTTTTTTCGGTGCTTCGCTCATGACGTGAACAGCTTGATTAAAACCGTTTTGAAGACAGTGTTCAAGACAGTGACAAAGCAGGCAGCTTCTGCGACGGCAAGTTTGAACAGTTCATCGGCAAAGTGGCTTGTGCGCGCGAACGAGGGCGTCTATGCAATGTATTGGAAAACCTTGGCTTTATTATGCTGTGTGATACCCGCTGGAATAGCATGCAGGCATGCTTTGCAAACCTGCTTCGCGTTAGATCGGCGCTTGAAGATTTGGCCCACGAATATCGATATGATGTTGAATTCCCTACAACGCTACATGTATTTTGCGATCCGCTGTTCTGGAGAAACTTAATCGATGCTGAGCGTGTCATTCGGCCGCTGTCGGAAGCATCCTATCGACTACAAAAACATGACAACACGATGGCGGACGTCGTGCGGTGCTTTTGAAAAATACATGCTGCCTTTGTTGCCAGTCCATACGCTTCTCATCTAGTCCCGGTGGTGGAGAAGCGATGGGGACACTGTGAGCAGCCGCTGATGCTTCTCGCTTTCGCATTGCACCCGCGCTACGTGACTTATACGCGTGCCTTAATTTAAGCTCACGACAACACTGTCTTTTTAATGTCAGTAGACGGCATCTCCGCTGCTGCTGACTATTACTTTCGCCGCTATGTTGATCTCAACAGCAATGGACTCGTAGGTAATGTCGACAAGTGATTGCGTGGCAAATTTACCCCGAAAATACACACTGACTTCACTGACCAGGCCGGTGTCCTTCAACCGAATGGGGTAATTGATTATTGGGTCCACGTTGCAGATTCGTGGTACGGCAAGGGCAGTAAACTTCCTCAGCTAGCGAAAGTGATTCTGTCGTTCGCATTGTTCACTGTGACATGCGAGCGCTACTTTAGCGAACTGGAATTGATACAGACATCGCGGTGAAATAGGCTTAAGTTTGATAAAGCTCGACTCATCGGCATCATTCGAAATGAGGTCCGCGAACGCAATCGCCGGGAAAGTGATTTCGGCGAGTGTCGAAGACAGAAGAAGCCTGTTGACCCTGCAGAGAGAGCAAACCAGCAGATGCACGGAGTTTCCAATCTAGCAACCTCGCTGTCCGCTCTGGCTGACGTTACCGATGTAGACTACATGGAGACTGTTGGAGCAGTGACTTCTCGTTGGACGCCATCGTCGATCTAGAAGACGATGGAGAAAATATTCTGAATAGCGTCGGTGACGAGGAATGGTATGTTTCCGACCCAGAACTCGAGCCAGTTCCTGTAGCTAACCGAAGCCAAGAGCTTCCAGATGAAAATATTCCATCGTATCATCGGGAAAAGCTCTTGACGGGTTTGAGAGCTCAACAGGTTACGCTAGAAACGCTGTTTTCAAGCTGGGTGGAGCTGCCTGCTGTAGCATCATCGCCGTAAAAGCTGACCAGACGCTAAAGATGCCTCTCTCGTAGATATAGGTAAACCGTGCCAAGTTGTAATAGCGCTCTTATTTATTTTTTCAATACAAGCTGCCAACGCTGGCTACCAAGTATATGCAACATTTAAATCATTCGAATTCGTCGCGCATCACTCGAAAGCGTCAAGTTATTCTCTAAACACTCTGCTGACATCTTGTCCTCCTTGTCTTCTTCATTCTCACTATTCGACACCATCATCAACTTCTTGAACGATCTTTGCTAAGTGATTCTTCCGTCAGCAATCACAACGATCTGGTCGCAGTGGCTCACGAAGCTCAAGGAGTGCGCCACTAGCAGCACCAGCTTGCCCTTCAGCGACTTCTTGAAGCACGCCTTGAAGATGTTGGTGCCCACATGGCTGTCCACTGCAGACAGAACGGCTTCCAGCAGATAAATGTTGACGGCCTGATACACCGCACGAGCGATGACCACACGAGTGCGCTGGCTGCTACTAAAATTGAGGCCCTTCACGCCGATCTCCGTACGGCCTCCAACAGTCAAGGTACGTCTTAAGTCAGCTCACGCGCAAAGCGTCCTCGTACTTGTCGGCGTCGAACGGCAGTCCGAACGTGATGTTGGTGCATATCGTCTCGCTTTGGCTGAGCGGCTGCTGTGATACGTACTCGCCTTGCCATGAATTACCACTGGGCCAGAGCTACAGCGACGTCACCCAAGATTCCAGCCAGCAAAATGGGCTTGCCACTACACGTCCGGAGACGCGCCAGCTCCTAGTCGTGGGACCTCATGACACGCTAACACAAAATAAACTGCCTTCTGGTGATGAAGGAATCTATCTTGTGTTCGATATCCGTAAAAGCGTGTAAAAACGCGTAAAAACGTTACCACGGGTGGTAAAAAGTAGATCACGTTGCTTCGCCTGTTGCAACGTCGTTATTGGCACCACTGACCAGTGGGCCGTTGCCTTCCCAGGCAACATGGAGCAGCAACTGCGTCGCATAGAACAGCAACTACTTGACCGGAGACGAGAAATGCGCATTATACGGGAAGTCGCCGACCAAGCGATGCAGCGATTGGATCGTACAGGACAGTGCTCGAAAACAATAATCAATATCAATAGTACTTGTTTTTTTTTCTTTGGAATTATAAGCTTTTGAAACTAATATATCGGGGTATCATTGCTTACGAACTCAATTTACTACAACGCAGTTTGGTGACGGTTCGGTTTGCTGTCGTTGGTCCCATGACCGAAGTTGGATGGCCCAGAGCTCTGAAATTCATAGTCGCTTAGGCCGGCATTTAAAGTCAGCTCATAAGCTTTGAGCGCTCACTTTTGATTCTTCTATCTACTGCAAAACCTTCACAATGAGCTCTGCACGAAACCGCGACCCCTACCGCTTCTTTTTCGTCGCCGACGCTGATTACTACTTTACCTGCAACTACTGTGGGACGCGGCGCAAGCAGCTCCCGTCAAGTGGCTATACCAATTTGGTGAGCCATCTCAAGGACAGCCACCCCGACAATCTCGACGACTTCGAGTCCAACCAGAGCAGACAGGCTGGGTCGCTATTAATCTTAGGGTTGTCAACCCAGCTGCTTCTAACATGTACCAGTGGATTGAGTGGGTCGTCAGCAACATGCCCGTAAGCGAGGTCGACGATCCACTCACGGGAAGCATGTCCAAGCTTAAGCCTGTCTGCTCATACAGGCTCAAGAGCAGCATGTCGTTAGTAGTGGCAGCAGAAGAAGCCGAGTTTAGCGCCGAAATTTCTGGCCAATATGGTTTTATGCATGACGCATCTACGTTTTTCCTGGAGATCTACGTGGCTATCTACGGAGTGTACTTCCACAAGGGCTGGCTTATGCAAGTGCTGCTCGCCATTGCACCGATGGAGGAAGGTGACCTGGCGGACCAATCACATTGCGCATTTATCAAGAAAATCAGCGAGATTTTCCACCTATCAGAGTCGGACCTGACGTTTCTGATTAGTGATAGCTGTGCTACCAACCAAGCTACTGCCCTGATTGGCTGTGCATCCCATCGTTTTAATCTGACTGGAAACACCTATTTGAGCAACTACGAGGCGGAGGTGGATTCGGTCAGCACGCTGATGGCGGAAGTACCTATACTACTGGAACTTGGTTCTCAAGAAAGACTGCATGATATCGAAGAAGAGGTTGAAGTAATCAACGCACATTAGGACACTGTTCGAGCAGCAGCGCACAACGCTCGTGTTTTTACAGACGCTGCAGGCAACCACCGCCTTCGTCGCCTAAGGCACTTCGTTAAGGTGTGGCCTGGTCTCAATAATGGCATGCCAGGCTCCACGATCCGATCCATGAGATTATAGTGGGCGAAGAAATCCCGCATGAGTTTTTTTTCAGCGACCCCAACAGTGGTAGATCGCTTTTCTTGGCTATAGAACAATCCACTCAGTATCCTGCTGAGCGAAGATTTCAGCATCGAACAAGGCAATACAGTTGCCGTGCAACGACGCAAACTACAATTCTTCCTGATCAAATGATGATGATGTCGGCGTGACAAACAACCACCTATCATTGATTGGCTATCAGTGATAGTATCAGGACTCGATGATGCATACTATACCGTAAACGTTTTGACTTGATGTGGCATTTCTGACCTTCAGCAACGAAAGATAGTCACCAAGCATATGAAAATGTAAAGCACAATCCCTTTACACTTTTTTTACGATGGATATGTTCCGGGCGCTGGAACGATACAGCTACATGTATGACTTGTGAATGATAATAGGCCACACCAAACTAATTCCCTACGAAATCCGCGACGGCGGTAGCTCGTCACGAATCCAACGGTAGATCGTATAGGTCACATTTGGAATCCTTTGAGCTCAGTCGTTTGCACCCACATTACCAGCTAGTTTTCCGTATCCACAGCAGCCAATGAAAACCTTAAGCACTTAAACCGAAAAGACCGCACCACAAAACGTACTACGAAACGGTTATTGTGTGTTCAACTCAAACAAGATATCTGTTATGGACTTGCTTTGACTTTGAGGTGTCTTAAGTACGATCTGGGCCGTCAGGAATTTTTGCCATTCATCGAATAGAGGCTAATTTGGTCGGATCTCACAAAACCAAATATTTATCGTGCGTAACACTTGTTTCAGCTGAGCAACGATAAAAAGAACAGCCAACGCTCGTGTTGCTCGCGTTTTTGTTTTCATATTTCTCGGTTTTTACGATGTGTCATAATGACACTGTTTTTATGATATCAACGGCGAAGTCAATTGATTAATCATTTCGTGGCAAAAGGGCGCCTGTTGCAATAATTCAGCTAATTATGTTCCATCCATATAACATACGACAAACCGCATTTATTTTAATCAATCCTATCTCGCTAAGTACGAAACATCCACTACCAATTCTCCAAAACGGTGGCGGGAATCCACGTCGCCAAAATCAGCAATTCAAAAGCGTGATTCCCACCAACGAATTTCCATAGCCTTTTAACAAGATTTAAGCTACGTGCTGCCCACATAGCAGTCCGCAATACAACTAACAAGCTATAGTCATGGCTAACAAACGCCCAGATACTCAACCACGACAAAGACTATCGTCGTCTCTGAAGTGCACGGCGATCTTCCAAAACCGTCCTTAATCTTTGTGCTACGCATTTTGCGATAAAAACAAGTCAATTAGACGTGCTCAAAGCTATCAGCCATCACTGTATTAACTATTAAGCTATGTCCTATTCTATGAGTCCTAATCACTATTTCAAATGAATCTTTAGTATTCGTTTGGAATGGTAGCAGATCCAAAAAGGGCAATTTTTTAAAGGCATTCTGAGTTTTGGAGTAACCTTTTGGTTGCAGCTTCCATGCCCCCCCTGTATTATCTACCATGACGCACGAAAGTATAGTGCTTGGGTGGTGACTAATGTCTAGCAGGCATAGCGAGGAAGCAGCGTTCCTGAATAATCTCCATCGTCGTCTAAGAAAAGAGATCCTTCGCTATGAATGGAGCTGTATGGAACGGATGCGCCACTAGTAAAGTTAAATTGTCTCAAGTCTCTCGAGCAGGCATCCTGGAAGGACACATGGCAGTGCAGCTCTGACATTAGTCTCCTAGCCACTACCAGTTTAACTCGTGATGTACTACAGTACAGCGGAATATGCAGAAGGGGTGAGGGTGGCTAGTAAATGCACTAACATATTTGCTCATATATGAATGCAGAGATTCTATCTGTCGACAGTTGGAAAGGTTTAACCTCTTCATTTTGATTCCTACCTACCGGTTCTAAGGGCGAAGGCCTTGGACGCTCCAGAACAACCACCAGGTTCTGGAGCTGCTTTTTGCTTTAAATGTAGGATCGATACAGAGACCTTCCTTTTGTAAGAAGTTCAGTATTTCCCCTTCTACCCTGACTCGTGGAACAAATGCCGCCGAAGATGCACTGCCTGAAGCTCTCCGCGGCTTCATACCGGCACGGAGCGTGTGGCCAAGTATCGAGCGCCAGAAGGAATTGACGGGGCTCGTCTCCCAGAGGGAGCCGCCGCTTTAGTGGTTGCTGCTAAGTGGAGTATGCATGAGCGCACCATCGAAAAGTGGCTTAGCAAACAATACCAATTGAGGTCGCTACAATTACAATGGCTTGTATCCAAACCACATTTACCCACTGAGGCGAACAATCACCTTTTTCAGTTGGGTTGTCAGTCGTCAACTCACAGGGCAACCGGTTGACCGCTCTGCGATTATCATACAGCTACGGAAATCTCATTATCTGTCACTAGATTAAATCCAAGCAACGGATGGTACCCACCCTTTGCCAGTCGTCATCCTTAACTTATCACTAGAGTTGCGCAAGCGCTCTCACTTAAATGACATTGCGTAGTCAGAGACGATCTGGCGCAGATGTTCAACACGGTAGCTAAGCTCGTTATAGAACTGGGTTTGGACAGCTCTCGGATCTCCAATTTGGATGAAACTACTTTTCAGACGCACCAAAAGTAAATGTCTGGTGCACGGACCCCCTCCGTCGACTTTCATTTTTTTCTATTAATGCTTGTGGTGGCGCGGCGGGGTTTGTGGTTTCCCCTGTTGAACGCACTGCAGGAGGATACAGCTCTTGGTCTGGACGAAGGTGGTTGGGAGAAGTAGAGTAGAATCTGAAGTGAGCTCTGGTGAGCTCTTAGCTAGCTACGGTGGTTACTAACGGGCCCGCAGGAGCGGTCGCGCCTGTTGGCAGCAGGAGCTGTTGCAAAACCCCCAGACGGTCGTTATTCCAACACGCCTCCTCGAGTTGTGCTGGGGGTGCAAGACGTCGCTGCACCTGCGTCGGCTGTGCCCGTGTCTGGTTCCGTGGCCTGGGACGTGAGATGTAGTGTGCTTCTCAAGTGCTGGTGGATCTTCGCGCTGCCGGGTTTGATGAGGATGTCCGTATTCATGTTTTCTAGTAGGGCAGTATTCCACGATGATGTCGCCCCGCTTGATCGTATCGCGAATGAAAACGAACTTGATGTTGACATGCTTCATTCTGTCTGATGTGAGTTCGTTCTCCATCGTTTTGATAGCGCTTAGGTTGTCGACTTTGAGGCAAATGGACTTGTCAGGTGGTAAAAGTGTCAGCTTTTGGAGTAGCTGTCGGATCCACAAGCACTCTTTCACGGCGATGCATCCGGCGATGTACTCGGCTTCTGCGGTTGAAAGTGCGACGGTTGGCTGCTTTTTGGAGTACCAGGCGACAAACATCCCGTTCATCGTGAGGAGGCCTCCCGAAGTTGACTTGGCCCAGTCGGAATTATTGTAAAGTGTGGGTTTGATGCTTGCGCTTTTGTTCGCTGATCTCTGGTACAGCTAACCGAGCGTTCGCGTTCCCTTTAAGTACCGAATGATGCGCTAAACTCCCTGCCAATGCGCGCACGTCGGAGTTTTGACGAACCTGGCCAAATAATTCACTGTGGTCGTGAATTCCGGGCAAATGCAGCTGCTTACTGTGGG